GAGGAAAATAATATTTTCCTCGTAAGAGCCTCGTAAATTTACTTCCACTTTACGAGGAAACGCTTTTCTCGTAAGTTTACGAGAACCTTACGAGGAAAAGATGTTTCCTCGTAAAGTCGAAGTAAACTAGTAGTATTTTTACGAGGAAATGTTTTCCTAGTAAATTTTCCTAGTAATGGCTTAGTTTTCTTGTAGTGTAAAGAAGTAACAACACTAAATAGACGTTTCCAAAATCTCGTAACTTCTTCGAGCAGAAAAAAATTGATAATGGATTCATTAGCTAATAATTCTAGATTTTGTCTATATGAAACTATGTTTTAGTTGGTTGTTTTATTTCGATTTGGTTATTTATATCACATATAGTTTAAATAATAGAATTATCGTTTGGTGTTAACAAAAAAAAAATAGAAAATGATTCATATAGAACAAATGAACCTGAAACCTAAACTTTTTTTTAATATACCTGAAACCTAAACTTTTAAACTAGAACACATTTTCCTATTAACTGGGTGCCATTATCCATGTATAGTATATAGAATTTGGATATGGATGCAATCGCTTGTATTGTCGTGTTCCCCATATTCACCGCAAAGGTTCATGGGCCGATTTGTCATGTCTCTCGCCATCTCAACGCAAACTATCCATCTGCCTAGATATTCTCTTAACCACAAATTCCACCATCCATCTGCCAGATATATTTTCTTAAGTACAAATTCCGTTTGTATGGTTATATATTATAAGTGTATAATGCTATTGATAACATACTTTTCACGTATAAACAATGAAAAAAAAACAGGAGTGATGGTTGACCAAATTTTTGATAATTATATTTTGCGGTATTGCCTATATGTGATTTGGGTATGGAGTGATACATTGAAAGTTGAAACCATAACATATAGCGAGGGTGATTGGTTAGACTGTAGATGTATAAATTTTACTGTAGAATTTAGACTATAATTTTTTTTGATGTAATTATATCTAATGTAGCTGTAAAAATTAAATGAGAAGAAAATATAAAAGAAAAGATATTCATACAACAATTCTACAGCAATATTTTTTTTGTTTTAAAAAATAGGGTTATTACAACCATTTTTTAAAATTTTTGACTTTAACCTTAAAAACTACTTAAAGCATGATTGGTGATTTAAATGGTTGGAGATAGAAATTAAAAGTAAAGTCACTATTTACAACCCTACCAATCACATAATGCGTTTGTATAATAAAATAAACGTGTGTCATAGACTCATATCTATATGTGAGCGTCTATGTATATGTACAGAATCATCCTCTATACATGTAGAGGATTGGGTTAGAGGGTAGGACCAATGAGGGACCCTGAGCAAATCCTTGTTTTAAGGAATGTTATTGTTACCTACTTCCTTGTTTTTGGGCTGTCATTTTTTGTCGTGTTTTATGCCGTATTCTTCATTTATTACATGACCTCTACAGCTTACTGCGAAAAAACAAAATAGAAGACTGAAACTATATTATGTTTGTATATATTATTCGAGATTTTATAGTACATTTCTTTAGACTTTCGAAAAACGAAATTTAAACCGTTGGCTAACAAGCAAAAGTTTGATTCATCATAAGAAAGACACTAAACCAAGAACTTTTATTAAAAAACTTTACTGTAAATCAACACGAAAAAAAAAACACGAAACTAACTATCAATTTATTTTATAGCAACGGTCAAACATGTGGTTCATAGTAGAATAATTAAAACACGAAACATACCGCATAGTTTGATCGAAAAAAAAAGAAAAGAAACATACCACATATAGTATAGAACATAAAAACTAGTATACACTTTTACTATGATGCAAAATAGAAGAATCATTTACTTGTCATCGAGTTTTATTTTTGTTTTCTGGTTTGCCAGCAAGAAAAACATAATTGTGTAGAGAGATGTCAACCCTTTACTGCAGAAGTTATTTGTTGGCACTTTGGCAGACATAATCGTTGTTGGCCGTAGTGGTGAAGGAGAAAACGATCCCCTAAACACACATTTTTGCACTTGGCACGTGCAGTAACCATTGGACTGTGGTGACCATTATTTGTCGGTTTGATTGGCAAGATAAGTTGTCCCCAAAAAAGAAAAAAAGTGGCAGATTATGTTTCCCAATTATTTGGGCTGCGTTGGGTCAAGGGAAAGATTTGTTTGAATATTTCTGTTTACATATTTGGGTTTTCGAACTTGGCCCAATATAATTTGAAAAACAAACCAAGCGTAATTACTGGTTTAAAGACTAAACGGATCTAAACCGACGACTGACGAGGACCCCTCCATCTTCTACGTAATTACTGGTTTAAAGACTAAAGCTTCTGCAGTTGTTCAGCTCGGTTCGTCTCTCTGCCTGCAAGTTTCACAATTTCACATTTGCTTTATAGTGGTATTAGTGATACATTACGAGTTCCATCTCATTAGAGTTAAACTCATTTCTCGGTTTTAAACGAAGCCTACAATTATTGTTTGTGTGTTGATAGGGTAGTGTTATGTTAGGACAATACTAATTTACCTTTGTAACACCTTTGCGGATTAGCAGTGTTCTTGTTTTATTGTTCACACATCAGTAGTAGATAAAGAAGTCACGAGATGGTGGATATGCAAGTCACAAGATGTTCAAGAGAAGTCAAAAGATGTTCATTCAAATCAAAAGAAGTCACGAGAGTTGTCTGTATGTTTATAGTTGTCACTTGTAACCACATTCAAGTCACAAGGTGTTGATATTTGTCAGTATGTCTATACAAGTGAAGTCAGGAGTATTGTTGTATATGCAAGTCACAAGATTTTTTTATGTTAGATACATGTTGGTTTTAGTTCTTCTCTCCTTCTCTATATAAAGTTGTGATTGACCAAACATTTTATTCACAAAGTCTTCCTCTCTCCTTCTCACCACACAAGTTTCATTCAGCATTTTATTCACAAAGTTTTCACTGATCACAAATATTATTCACAAAATAATCAAAAACACTTTTTACATTTCAATCACATATATGGCATCTTCTTCTAGTGACACTTCTGAGAGAATAGATGAAATTTTTGACCAATATTTTGATCAATACTTTGATCAATATTTTGATCAAACATTAGAGAATTTGTCCATTCATTATGGTGATCAAGAAAAAGAAAGGAAAAAAAGAAACAAAAGAGTTCATATCGAAAGAAATCGTGAAGAAGATGTAAGTTTATGGAATCATTGTTTTTATGTTTTTATTTAAAATGTTATTTTTATGTTTTATTTAATATATAAATTATATCTTTAAAAAAAAATATGAACCCTTAATTAAAAAAATTACATTGGAACACAAAATCTATGGATTTCTTAACTAATTTTTTTAAGTAACTTTTATTATTAAACAAGTCATTAAAAAACTCAAATGGGGTTATAGGGTTAATGATGCTCTTAGTCTATTATTTTTTTTTATATATATGTCTGGTCTGTTTTGGTTAATAATACTATAGAGTATAGACTCATAAGATTTTCTAACTCTTTCTATATTTTTTTTTTTTTGAGAAAGGGCATACTCTTTCTAAATTTCTGTCACACCTTTTGGATCCAAACTTATTTTAGATTTGACTAATTATAATTTGGTGTATTTCTTTTACTGTGGATAAAAAAATATATTCATTGTCCCATGGAACTGAGGAATCATTGATTTGTAACGTTTGTTTGCAAAGATTTTTGTGGGTCGTCTTCAAATATTTACTGGCTTGAAAGTCAAATAACATTATGTACCTTCTGTTTTCTGCCGACAATGTTCATGAATGCTCATCAAGGTTTCTTTGTTTTTTTGGTTGAAACCAATTTTGATCAGAGTGTTTCAAAAAGAAAAAAGATCAGTTGAATCTTAGTACTTACTAACGCATGAATAAACAAAAAAGCTGGAAAATTTAATAGCTGAGTTATACTTGTATTGATAGGTATGTGATAGTGAAACATGACTCTTGTTTTTTCTTCTTTTGCGTAGGAACAAGCTATTGTGAACGTGAAGGTTGTGTTCTATTCCAAATTCAAAAGAAAAAAAAAAAACCATCACATGGTATCGCAATTGTTTTATTTATTCCACATTAAGTTATTAACCCAAAATCTCAAATTAACAAAAACAGAAAGAGGGAAATAGTGCTCCACCGACAAACCCACGAGCAAAGGAGGATGATAGGATTTTCACTCAAAATCAATTTGGAACCCGTGAGGTATGACGTTTTAAACTTCATTTACTACCATGATACATTCCTCACATGATTAATTAGATAAAAGCAACATTTAATTTACTTCCTAAAGTCACTGAAAAAGTTTTTGGTTACTTCTCCTTTAATTGCAATAACTGATCCAACGCTAAATTTAATTTCTCCTCATCTCAGGAACACAAGAACAAGAACAAGAGCAAGAGAAAGAGCCAGATCTAGTCCAACTAGTGGCGGAGCCACACTGTGGTGGATTTTCTGTTAAACAAAAATTTCTTGTATAATTCTTTAAAAATTAGGTAATTGTTACAAATTTAACTAGTTGACCCATGTAATATATGTTATTTTGAAGATTGACCCTTCTCAAAGACTTTCCTAGCTCCGTCCAACTAGTGGAGATTCTGATCTTAGTTTTGTCAGACTCAGAAAAACCAAACTTGATAGTTGCCTCTCACTTATTACAGACAAATTAAATGCCATCCCCAAAAACATAAGCATATTTTCTCAAATAGGAGTCTAGAACAAAGATTATTACATTTCAACTACAATATGCAACATCCAGTTGATAATTAAGCTGTTGATTTTATTAATTATAATATTGAGTTACAGAATCAACAATCTTGCAGCACTTATACATACCCCACCACAGCATACATCGGTCCCTACTCCAAAAAGTTTTAAAGAAACCCATTGGTCCAAAGGGAATCCATACAATACTTTAGTATACACATCAAATCCAACATACAACTTTAACCCTCCCCATAATATAAAAAAACTAAAGGGCAACAAAATATTGACATAGGAGAACAAACACATCCTTTTTCAATTTAATTAGATGCATTATTACTTTAAGTAGATGGATCAGATTAACATCGAGATCCTTTCTTACAAGAGAGAGCACCAGCATTGCCCGTGACGGAAGCTACCAACGAGGACGGTCTAGCCGACAGACTCGAAGCTTTTGCATACCTTGAAGAAGCTCTTCCACCTGAAGGCGTGAAGAACGCACCGTTTAAGAACAAGTCACCTTCTGATCTCCAGTTCCAATTCTTCCATTTGCTTTGTGGTGCATCTTCGTATTTAGTCACCTTTTTTAAAGCACATAGTTGTAGTTCAATTTATAATCTCATATATATGGCTAAGAATAGAAAATATAATTTTCATAAAGTAGCTATTAGTTACCTCTTTGAAGGCTTTATCATTTGGAGCAAGAAATCTATTGCCTTGACTATTAATCGTTGGAGCCGCACTCCCACCAATTGCATACATTCTCCAATGCGTATAATCGTTATTTACCACATGAAAATATCCATGCCTACATCTGCCAATTTCCCAAAGTTATAGGGGTTTAGTTTAAATAATATTAAAAGTTCAAGGACTTGCTTAGAAAAACTATACGAAGTTAACTTTATTTTTTTACCTGGGCATTCTCTGAACAAGCCCTTCACCAAAATGATTAAAAGCAACTGTGACTTGCATGTTCTTGTCTCTCGTGTACGAATCACTATGTCCCAAAAGCATCACTTTGTTGTGGTGCGTGAAGTAGTTATTAGAGATCGTAACAGCCGTCGACCCATGAATCACGTCAACCAAACCGTCCGCACAATTAGACAACGAGCAATGGTCTACCCACACGTGAGACCCACCGAATATAGAGACTGCGTCACCATCAGAAGCCGACCTCCATCCGTAATGCGACGGAGAATCTCTAACGTAAGCATTGCCTCTCTTCTTGCAGTCGTGGATGTTTATGCCGTGAATGATGATGTTAGTCACGTACTGGACAGTGATGCACGCACCGCCAGCGATGTGGACGTTCGCTCCACGTCCATCTATGGTCTTGAACGAGTTCATGAGCAGCTCTTCTTTTAGTTTTATGACCATGTCACGTGCGAAGATGATCCAGAGCGGTTCTTCTTGGATCACTGCGTGTCTTAGGGTTCCGGGTTTAGGGTTAACTGCGTCTTTGTCCCTAGGGTCGGTCACCACGTAGATTTTACCGTCACGGCCGCCTATTGCGTGTTTGCCAAACCCAATGGCGCAATTGGCTAGTCGTTGACGGTTTTTCTCCCATTTGGGGTCGCATCTCCAACAGTCGTCTATTGGGTTTCCGGTCCCACATGAGAGGACACCAAGATTCCTTCTAGAAGCATTTATCTGTCTACAAATATTTACATAACAATGTTAACATGTGGATGTTATAAGAGTATAGACTTTTGTATTCGATAAAGATTTAGAAGTTTTTTACGCACTGGTTAACTTCTTGAACTACGAGTTCAGGGTCGGAGACATGAGAGGAGGCGACGTATGTTGGAGCTAGGACAAGGAAGAGACATAAGAAAATGGAGAGAGACAAGTGAATAAGTGTCATTCTCTTTATTGTATTTCTATGTGTTTATGAGATTTGAATGTTTTTGTTTGCTGATTTGATAAAATGCTGAGAGAGGCTTTGGCTTATTTATATGCAAAATTTCCTCCAATTATTATCTTTTTAAATAAAGAAGGGCCCACTCTTTTCTGATACTTTTTTATATGTACTGAAAAGGAGAAAGGATTTAGAAAATACCTACGTATTGAATAAGAATATGATAGAGAAAAATTAAAAAAATATCCTGGTTCAATTTCATTGAAGCTCTTGTGAGTTTCTGGATTGTATAGGTTAACATAGTTTTCCAAGATCTTTAGGTGATTACCTTTCTCTATTCACCGGTGTGCATTATTTCCCTTTTGTTTCGCTGTGTACGGAATAACCTATGATTTTTTTTTTGCTAAATAGAATAACCTGTGTTAAACTATCAAACAACTAGTGTTAACGGATGGGCCACAATTCACCTTGTTGGGCCTATTTTCTGCAACCTGCAAGATAAGATGATGTCGGTTAGTTATAGGCAAAGACAAATAGGTTTAGGAATTTGTCTTAAATACAACAGAACATAGGAATGTGTAAGGGTTATAAATAAGACCCAAGAGTTCTATAGTTTTGTACGGTTTCAAAGCAATAGCAAGATACAATTCAAGAGTTCTAATCTTTTGTCTTATACTCTAAAGTGTTCTATTGCTAATTTGGTTTCATACTTTCACGTGAAGTGTTAGCATTCACAAGCACAAGTAAAGTTTCGTTTCTAACAA